AGCAAGAGAAGGTGATAATGTGCCTCCTCTTCCTAGTAAGAAGCGATCACAACCACAAGCTTCAAAGGCAGCTGTGGAAAGTGGGAATAATAGTGGTAATATTAATATTCAAGCTGCTACAACTCAAGAACAAGAACGGCCAGCAGTTACCAACACCACAACAACACCTGTAACGGAGAAGAGAAGTAGGGAGTACATGTTAAGATCACCTGTATGGAATCATGATGATTGTTACAAAGTTTCTAAAGGCAAGAAGAAGGCGAGGTGTCATTACTGTGAAAAGTCATTGGTTGGGGATCCCTCGGGAAATGGTACAAGTTCTTTGGGTAGGCATACGGAAAGGTTCTTAAAGAAACTACAAGAAAAGGGGAAGCAATTGAATCTAGAACTCAATCCAAGTTCTGTTGAAGGGCAATGAGTTTTGGGGACTTGGAAATTTTATCAAGCATTTATCAGAGTTGGGTTAGTTGAAATGATAACTCTGTATGAAATGCCTTTTAGGAGTGTGGAGAAAGAAGGCTTTAAGCGCTTCATGGCTCGTGCTTGTCTGATGTTTAAGATTTCATGTAGAAAAACAATTAGAGAAGATTGTTTTAGATTGTTTCTTGAACAGAAGGGCAAGTTGAGAGATTACTTCAAGATCAAGTGTGGAGGAAGGGTGTCCATAACTACTGATAATTGGACTTCTTGTCAAAATTTCAACTATATGTGCATCACTGCACACGTTGTTGGGAAGGATTGGAAGCTGTACAAGAAGGTGATAAGTTTTTGCAAGATTACAAGTCATAAGGGGATTGATCTAGGTGATGCAATAGCCGATTGTTTGGAGCATTGGGGTTTGCAAAATATTTTCACAGTCACAGTTGACAATGCAAGTGCAAATGACACGACACTTCTTCATTTGAGAGATCGACTTGAAGAATGGGTTATTAATATAGTTGGTGGAAAGTACCTTCACATGTGGTGTATCACTCATATAGTGAATTTGATTATGAGCGATGGTTCAGAAGAGATGGGCATGTCAATAAGGAGGGTGAGAGAGGTTGTGAGATGGGTTAGATCATCACCATCTAGATTGGCAAAGTTCAAGGAATGCGTGGAATTTCAAAACATTGAATCCAAGAAGATGTTGAGTCTAAATGTGCCTACAAGGTGGAATTCCACCTACTACATGCTTGAAGCTGCTGTGTTGTTTGAGATTCATTTTCTAGTCTTGAGAGGAAGGATAAAGATTACAAGCCCGAGCTCAAGGAAAAGAGGTACAAGAATCAAGAATTTGGTGTCCCTCAACATGAAGATTGGAAGAATGCAAAAGTTTTGATGAAGTATTTTTTCATGATTTGACTTTGATTGCATCCACTACTTGTGTTGTGACTGCTCATCGATTCTTGAGAGAGTTTGGAAGGGTATTCTATCATGTTGAGAAAATGATTAATAGCACAAATGATGATATAGTTAGGATGGGTATGAAGGTGAAGGCTAAAGTTGACAAATATTGGTCGGAAGGATTGTGTCAACTTCGGATTGAACAGGTTGGTTTACATGGATGTGGTGTTTGATTTGAGGCATAAGATGAATTATCTGGATCATATTTTCAAGAAGATGTGTGGAGAGGATAGGGAAAAAGTCTTGGTGAAAGAGTTGAATGATGAACTTGATAAGTTGTTTAAATATTATCAGAGTAAGATGCCTCCTTCTGCTCTTTCTTCTCCTCCAAAACGTCGAGTACAAGTTCCCACTTCAAGTTCACCGAGGTCAGGTAGTGATTCTGATGAATCTTATGATGATTATGATCCTGATGATGATCATGGAAAACCTCAAACTGCCATACTAAGACTGAGTTAGAGAAGTATCTTGATCATCCTCGAGAATATGATGATGCCAGATAAGAGTTTGATGTATTGAAGTGGTGGAAGACTAATGCTCTGAGGTATCTGATTTTGAGTGAGATGGCAAAGGATTTGTTTGCTATTCCTATGTCAATTGTTCCTTCCGAGTCCGTTTTTTAGCACAAGTGGGCATGTTTTAGATGAATTTATGAGCTCTTTGCATCCTAAGATTGTGGAAGCTCTCATATGCAGTCAAGATTGGCTTCGATCAAGTTCTAGTGAGTTTGTGGAGCATCTTGATGGTGAAGATGATGACTATGAGGATCAAGAAGACTTCGTGAGTGGTTAGTAAATTACTTTGTAGTTTTTAGTTTTGGCCATGTAAATGCTATTACTAACAATTATATTGTTTTTATCCATGTCATTTAGTTTACAATGCTATTATGGTGGATGAGGCGGAAAGGTGTGAACATGTGAGTAGACACGAAGGTACAAGTACGAGCAATGTCGGAGGGAGTGATGTGTTTGGCTCGAGGAGTGGAACAAATCAAGGAGATGGATCTAATGCTTCATTTGTTTCTCTTGAACCTGATGAGTAGAAATGGTTTGGTGAATTTGTTAGATTGAAGTGAATTTGGTGTTTGATATCTAAACTTTGGTTGTGAACTTGTGATGCACTTTATTTTTATTTTGAAGTTTGAATTGGACTTTGAGTTTGTAATAGACATCAATGATGGTTGTGATTTTGTATTGGACCATGTTTGGCTTGATTTTTGCTACAAACAGGTTGTCAACATTCTAGGAAAATGGGTATATGCTGCTGAATTTTTGCAACATGGTAAAAATGGGTCAAAACATGTCAAAATCGGATTGGGACCGGACCGGATCAAAACTGGATTGTACCCCAATCCAAACTTTGGCCCCTACATTTCCAAAAAGACTGGATTGGGATCGGATCAATTCGGGACAATTTAACTGGACCGGACCGTATAGCCACCCCTAGGCTCAAGCATAGATGGATTTGGACATCGGATGTTCACTTTATTGCCAAAACAAGCAGATCTTGTAATGCAGCAAGCCCATCTTTGTGCAAGGTCCAATCGAAGCTATATAAGTCAAAATGTGCCCAAATTTGGAGGAGAGCTCGCTTATGGGCCAAGAAACCAAATCCAAGTGGAATAGGAGCCTCGACCCCAACCTTCATGGAACTGCCGCTCGTGCCCTAGGTCTCTAAAAGTTTCCACAATGTCCTTACTTCGTCCCAAAGTCAAAGAAATCCGAGTTCAAGTCGTACAAGGAAGATTTTGGCCCACTTTAGGATGAAAATGACTAAGAAATCCCTTTATGTAACTAGTATAGGAGGCTAGACTGAAGTTTTATACACCTTTTACCAGCACTCTGCCTCAGGGGCACGAGTTAGGAATCCATAAAGAGGAGGGGAAGCCCTGCTGGAGCTCGACGGGGAGTTGTCACCATTGATGCCTATATTATTGGTGATGTCTTCCTATTCTCCTATGCATAGCTAGTTTGAAATTGTCTAGGGAAGTGACTCGATGATGTTTTATGTATTACTTTCAATGATTCAATGAGATCCTATTGTGTCTATTATCTTTATAATCGATACTTGAGTTAATTTATGTTTGTATCATATATTGCTTATTCAGTCGATGCTATTGTTATTAAATGTTATAGACCATGGATGCTTACGATTCTATTATGTGTCACTATATGCATTGTGCTTAGTACATCTAGGTTGTTAAGATATTGTCATCTAGTGATAAGTTGATAACCTATTGATGTTATGCAATATAGATGGAATGACCTAACCATCTATACCTCGACTATGATCAATGCTTGATTCTTACATCATAGATTCTATAAACGATCGATTATGGCTAAAGACACCCACAATTAATCATATGCTAACTTCCTTGTTCCTCATTGATTAGGTGATGGCATGAAGCGAAAGCACGCATTAGCTAATCAAGATCCTATTGCAAGAGGCATATGCACGGGGGAATGAGCTTAGTAGAAGGGATAGTACATCATAATCGATGATGTATAGAAGCATCCATGGTTGTCAAACCGGTCTCATGCCGGCCGGTTCAACCGGGTACAACCGGTACCGGTCACAAAACCGGTTGTAAAGAGGCCGGTATTTAACTGTGGTCAGACCCGGTCAATTCCGGAAATTCCGGCTGGTTAGACCAGAAACCGGAATTCAATGTTACACATATTTTATCCAAAAATAAATGCCCTCCTTAGGATTTGAACCATGTACCTCATGATCATTTTAGACTCTCTTACACACTAGTAGACTACAAGCAACTTTGTTGTATCTATTAACCTTATATATTATATATCTAATACTAAATTTTACACAAATCATTATAAACATTAATAAAATTCATTTTATATACTTTTATTTTTAAGCATCTAATTGTTTAGTATTAGTTACCAATTCTTAGCTATAAATTATTTTGTGTGAAATAATTTTTCTAATTGCTTTTTGATGACTAATTTATTTGGAATTGAGGATTTTCATTTGTTTCATATATTTTATTAAAACCGACACAATCGGCGTAAATACTGGTTGTACCACGGTCGGACCATTCCACTTTCAAAACCGGCACACCGGCATAAACCGATTTGACAACCTTGGAAGCATCTCATTGTTAAGTTAGGGCACGTTGTATCGTTTGGTTTCTTTCCTGCATTAGTAGTTTAGTAGCATGAATTAGGCCACCGCAAACCACATCATATTTAGTATTTACTTTTCTTGCATCATTATTCGAATATAATTAGTTAGCTTTGTGTAGAAAATCTCGTGGAATACGACTCGAGCACATTTTAGAATTTATCACTTTTCACTACATCTGCAATTTTACATCAAGTTTCCTACGTACAACCTAGGTTAAATTTCACGAGAAAAAGAATGATTATAATTTATGAGTATAAAAAAATATGCAATGAAATACGAATACGATGGAACAAAATACGAGCAATATATCCTGGTTTCTAGACCAACCGAGTTTTCTTCACACGCAAACCTTTTCTTCTAAGCAAAACCTCTCGTTCACAAATCAAACCAAAACGATTTCTGTCGACCATCCCTTCCCCGCTTCAGTATCCTCCCTCCTCCCCGTCGCCGCCACCAATCGGAACCAGTAAATGGCGCCCACACCTGCAGGCCCATCGCCGTCTCCGGCAATTCAACAATTCCTCTCCTCCGTACTCTCGCAGCGGGGTCCTTCCGCCCTCCCTTACAGCGAAGACACCAAATGGCTAATCCGACAACAGCTCCTCGCTCTCGTCAACAGCGTCCCTTCTCTGGAGCCCAAGACGGCGATGTTCACCCACAACGATGGCCGCACCGTCAACCTCTTGCAGGCCGACGGCACGATTCCGATGACATTCCAAGGCGTGACCTACAACATCCCTGTCATCATCTGGCTCATGGATTCTTACCCTCGATACCCACCTTGCGTCTACGTCAACCCAACTCGCGATATGATCATCAAGCGTCCCCACGCCCATGTCAATCCTTCTGGGTTGGTCTCTGTTCCTTATCTGCAGAATTGGATTTACCCTAGCTCTAATTTGCAAGATCTGGTTCACGAATTGAGTGCTGTTTTCGGCCGTGATCCTCCTTTGTATGCCCAGCGCCGCCCTAATTCCAATCCAAACCCTAACCCTAGTCCTCATCCCCATCCCCATCCCAGCCCGAGTCCTAGCCCAAGTTTTGCTACCAATCCCTCCAATTTGTCCAGTTCGTCAAGTTTTGGCTCCTTTTCAGGACCTGGACACAGCCCATACCAGCGCCCTATGGCTAGGCCGTACCCTCCATCACCTTACGGCAGTGGCAGTGCTACTCCTGCACGGACGCAGACTGATGATCCGGCGGAGATTTATAGAAGCAATGCTATCAACAAAATAGTGGAAATGGCTCATGGTGATATTTCCCAGTTAAGGAAGACTAGGGAAGCAGAGATGGAGGGTTTGTTCAGTGCGCAAGCTGTTTTGAGAAGGAGAGAGGAGGATGTTAATAGGGGATTCAAGGAGTTGCAGGATGAGAGAGAAGGGTTAGAGGCACAATTACAGATGGTGTTGATGAATTCAGATATTTTGGAGGCTTGGGTTAGGGAGAACGAGGGGAAGGTGAAGGGGAATTTAGGGGAAGTTGATGTGGACAGTGCTTTTGAATGCATTGACTCGCTTTCGAAGCAAATGTTAGAATGTACTGCTGCAGATTTAGCCATTGAGGATGTAGTTTATTCGTTAGACAAGGCAGTGCAGGAAGGAGCGATGCCCTTTGATCAGTACCTGAGGAATGTGAGGTTCTTGTCAAGAGAGCAATTCTTTCACCGAGCAACTGGGGCTAAAGTTAGGGCAGTGCAGATGCAAGCTCAGGTGGCCAATATGGCTGCTAGGATTCAGCAGTATACTTCATGAAGGGATTTTAATGATTTTGGTACAAGGATATACATCTTCAGATTGGATTGTGAGTTACATACTTTTAAAGGTTAGATCTTTTTTTCTTTTTGTCAAGAACTGTTCTTTTTTGCATGTTAGCTGCTGTTCGTTTTCGTTGTTCTCCACTTGTGTAACCGCTCTCCATTTATCTGTATTATTTTGAAAATAATATGTCTTCACAGTGCATCATATGCTGTCAGTAGTGATTGACACTCTATATCTGTCCCTTTTATGTTATTTCATATGCAGGGTCATAACTAATCATATCTTGTGTTCTTGTTGGGTATGTGTTAATTCTGGGATGGCTGAGGAAAATAAGATTTGATGGAGCTTTGTTACCAGATTGTGATTTATAGGATTAATAGTGTAAGGTCTTCGATTGGATCGATTCTGGATAATCTCCTAGAGTGGTACCTGAATTTGCCCTAGGATTTAATGAACAGCATCATCTAGTCTAAGTAAATCCTACAAGTACCATCACCATCATGCTCTTTGGTTCTGTTTATGTACTGGACTACTGGTGTAAACCGCCTTCGCTGTGCTTACACTCTTTGTGGTTTCTGTTAATTGGACTTTAACCTGTCTTTCTTTTCTCATGAAACATGGGTACGTTTAGCTGTAGTTTGGGAATGTCCTTGAGAAAAAGTTTTTAGTTAACTTCAGCATTAATTATATTTATTATTATAGACCGCCACACTTGAGAATCCGGTGATTTACTTGGAGTAACAGATTAGACAGACATTGAGTTAAGCTAGATATGCCAAGTCTTGCTTCAGGTCTGCCACAAGCTCGCCTATGTTTGGTTGTTTATACTCACACCTTGATTTGAAGTGGATTTATGATGGACTGCTTTTGATTTCTGCACATAACATTGAGCAGGGTAAGTGAGCTGGATATGGGACTCGTGATTTTTTTGGAGATGCCCATCTACTTGCTCTGGAAATTTCTGCGGCTTCTCTGTGGTTGGAGGCAAACAGATCTGTCTTGCTTGTGTTTGTTGATTTGGCATTTTTTATTAAGTGCCACCGCTAATAGATCTCTGGTTTGTGAACTGTGAATGCAAGTTCCTTGCATGATGCTGCTATTTCCCTGAGATACATGGAAACGTCGAATGGATTGCATCGCAGTGTGTGATGTGTATATGTATTGCCGAGACTTGTGTGCATGTGAAACGACTGAATTGAATTCATGGTTTACAGCATGGCTTCTCCCTGTCTTAGGCTTTTATGAAGTGTTATCATGTGCTGCCTTATGAATCTTGACTACTGGCCATTTCAATTTTCTGTGCTATGTTTTGAAACGGAGAAAACTGTGTTTGGTTTGCATTCCAGATGACGTTTTGGGGGGCTTGAGATTCATCTGAAAGCCAAGAATTCTGACTACATTGTGGTAAACCATAGCCAGTTGTTATCGATCTTCACCCAATATCACATGTCTTGACTCATAATTTGACATCACTCCTGACTTGTACTCGCTTGATCCATTTGTGTCACTTGTCTTGACCGGTAATTAAACTTAACCTGATTGATCTTGATTAGTGAATTGTTATGATCGATTTAAACCTAGTTGAGACGAAGAAGGGTGACTGAGAGTGATTTTGGACATCATAAGTGAGAACAAAGGAGACACGAATTCTATTCACCTCACATTTGTGTTCTAAATCTTATGGACGAACTCGAACTACTCCTCGTCGATAAGGAACTCGAACTGCTCCCAAATTCATTGATTCTCTGGAAGTTCCAATGTCGGATCTGAGCACACAGCAGAGAGACTAAAGATGAGTTAGTCTTGTTTACTATTCGTCTCTATTCTTGTCTTGTTTGGCTGTCAGAGAAAATTGGCTTAGAATCTGTATTAACCTAAAAAAGGAAAGAGATTCATCTGTGAGCTGAAAAATCTTGATTGGCCTATCTCCTTTTCTACCTCGAAAATTCTTGTCAACTCCTTGTCCAGCAATGTCAACTTCAGTTCTCCTATAAGTCTATAACCAACCTTGCATCAGCCACCTTCAATGCAATTTCTCTGAATCAGCGGTTGCCTTAACTTTTACAGGCTTCATGCTCCTCACTGTCTTGGTAACGCTTTGTTCAATAACTGCTAACCAAGCTACCACACTCTCTGCAACTGCTCCTGCCACCTCTTCCTGATCCTCACCTCACTCTCCATTCAACCTCGACCAAGTTTTGACAGATCGGCCAATGATACTGGTTTTCTAGTTAACTAGCAAGAATCGCTAACCGATTCGACTATCACCTGGATTAGTCCACAATGAATATAGTTTACTTTTTGGAATATGAATTTAATAATGAAAAAAATATTGTTCATTCTTGATGATGGTTGAATCGAGTTGTCTAGGAAGTTCAAGATAAAGGAAATAATTATGTCAATTTTGCGAAAATTTTGGAGTCCTAAATATATTAATGCGATTATTTCAAAAATAAATGCGAGTTAGTCTCAATTTACTCGTATCCAATTCGATTGTTTACTTTTATTTACAATTTCAAAGAGTCAATTTAGGTTGATGTTTTCATTATCATTTACATTCATCTCTAAATGAGCAACGGATCAGATTGTGAGCGGATATTGCATATTTATTACCTTACCCTACATAATTAGAATTTTAGCCATACTCATACCCATACCCAAATGTGGAATAATATTAAAATCATACTCATACACAATTGGGTTTTGCGTATCCATGGTCATCCATGAATTGTAATTTCTGTTTATAACTTAAACCAATATGTTAACAGTTTCATGTATACTAACATAACATAAAAATTACGATAATAAATTACTAGAATGACAAAAATTAGTTGAAAACGATAAATATTTTTGAAAATATTATATATATATATATATATATATATGTATATATATGATAAATATCATATACGTTGCAAATAATAATAATCACTTTAAACATAATACATATGCATGTGTTTAACGGGTGAGTTCGGACTGGATAGTGAGAAATCATATCCACCTATCACCCATAACATTCGGCTTTGAATTGTACCCATTTCCATTAAAAAAACTTTTGATTTCATGTTTTACCTTCCCCAAATTAGGTCAAATTTGAGCAAGTATCCACAAGTATCTGTATGGTTATTTTTGTTATCCTTAAATCAAACGAGAGCTAGCTGGAGATGATTTTGATGACTGATTAAAGGGAAAATTTAATTTTAAGAGTTAATCAAGGGGATAATATAAAGTTTGTGTTAAGTTATTATAAGGGTAAAACTGAACTTGTAAATTTTATTTAACTACTGTTTTAAGTTTTAACTGTAAAGGATTTAAATTTTGATCGTAGTTAAAGATAGAAGGAAGGATAAACGCACACCGGTAGCCTTATATCTTGGGTAGTTATCATAAATGGTCACAAACCTATTCAATTTGTACAAAATGGTCACAATACTTTAATTTTGCTCGTTTCGGTAATAAAGGTTTGAGCGAATAACGAAATGGTAAATCCGTCCAATTCCGTTTCAAATTCCGTCCTAATCGCCCCGTCAGCATGACACGTCAGTATAAATATTAATAAAAAATAATTAACCATCCCACTTAACCCATCAATCCAACCGGTCGGAACAAACCCTTTACCCGTTTGGACTATTACCCACAAATCGAGCTTTGCGGGAGAAAGCCAAAACTAGAAGTTGCGAGGAGAGGGGAAGATTTGAGATTCTCCTGTCGTCGGCGACCAAACCTCCTCCAATCGATTCGTCCGCTGTCCTCATCCTCGTCGGCACTCCTCCCCCCGATTCGTTCGCGAGTTGAACTGTGGGAAGTGGGGGCGATTCATCTTCCGCTGCGAACAGTCCCAGCTAATCAGCCGCCATCCTTCTCTTCGACAAGAAGATCTTCCTCTTGATTTGAAGAATCCAGCCACTGATAAGAGGGAGCAGTAGTTAGAAGTATTGAAAGAATCGTTATGGAGACAGATTCGTACTGGAAAAGGGAAGAAGAAATGGGAAGGTAAATGGCAGCGAACCAATTAAAGGAAGGACAAAGGAGGTATTTGGTTCTGAAATCAACAGGCAATCGAGGTGGGTTTTAGAGATGCAATTCTATAAAAAAACGGAGGGGGAGGTTGGTTCTGGGAGAAGGTAACAATTGTCCATTGTGATGGGGAGGTGGGGATTTGTTTTGGAAGAAATGGTGGGTGGGTCTTAAAGTTTGGGTGGGTTGAGTTGGTTGGTTAGATGATTTTTTTTATTAGTATATTTGTTGACTTGGATTGTTGACCGGTCAAATTTAACAGAAATTTGGATGGAGATGGACGGAATGACCTCTTTGTTATTCACTCAAACTAATCTGACTGAAACGTACAAAATTAAAGGTTTGTGACCATTTTGTACAAAGTGCAAAGGTTTGTGACCATTTATGATAATTACCCCTTATATCTTTGGACGACCAAATTAAATGGGAACGAAGAAAAGTCAGAGTAGTCATATAAGCTTAAAACATTGCCAGAGGAAGCAGCAGGAGAAGGAGAAGGAGAAGGAGAAGGAGAAGGAGAAGAGCAAGTTTCAGGTGATTAGCTTCTAGTTTATCTATCAGTCTTTTAAAACCGTATATGGGTCCTCAATGTTCATGCTCGCTAGTATATGTTCCGTGATTTTGATTCAAAGTTCTTGTGTTCTTTTTAATCAAAATATCCAAACAAGAGCTTACTGATTAGCCTTTTCTTCATAATCTCATCAAAGGACCAAACTTTTGCTTGAATAAACTTTGGCTACTTCACTAAATGAGAAAGTGGACTTATATGGAGGAAAATCAGTCACTTTTAGGCTCCTTCAAGCTTTTACACCAAACCCACTGAAACTTGCGCAGTTGGTGCTGGAGTGCGATGTTCAGGTTAAAGAAGAAGTTGTGAAACCAAACTGGAGTATTGGAAGATGGGCTTTATTGAAATTCCTCTGTCTCGATGCATACTACTATAATTCATGTTTCATGCTATGAAGTAGTCATGATTCAAAAGACTAGAAACTCCATTGAGGTTTGTCTTGCTGGCTTTCTTCAGTTTCATCCTGCTTGAAAAAGACACAGCAGCATGGCGGAGGCATTGTTGGCAGGGTCTTTTCTGTCTGCTTTCCTCCAGGTTCTGTTTGATCGACTGGCTTCTCGGCAGTTAGTTGACTTTGTTAATGGCCAGAAGCTCAGCAACAGACAGCTTAAGAGGTTGGAAACAGTATTGAATTCGGTGAATGTTGTGCTTGATGATGCTGAAGAGAAACAAATTACCAAGCCAGCTGTTAAAAAGTGGCTTGATGATCTTAAACATTTCGTGTATGAAGCGGAGGACATATTGGATGAGATTGGTTATGAAGCCTTGCGATTGGAGTTGAAAGTTGACTCTGGCAAAGGAAAATTGCAGAATTTTTTGTACCCATTTAGAAGTAAGATGGCCAAAAAATTGGAAGATACTCTTGATGGATTTCAACACTTGGTAGGGCAGAAAGATATTCTTGGACTGCTCGAGGGGATTGGAGGCAAATCATTGGTGCAGAATAGAACAACGACTTCACTGCTAGATGGACCTGATGTTTATGGTAGAGATGGTGACAAGGAAGCCATTATGACTTTGTTACTCTCAGATGAACTTAAAAGCAATCGTGTAAGTGTGCTTCCTATCTTAGGCATGGCTGGTGTTGGTAAAACAACTCTTGCTCGGCTTGTCTACAATTCTCGCAGAGTAAGCTGGTGGTTCGAACTAAAAGTGTGGATCTGTGTCTCGGAGGAATTTGATGTTGTCAAGTTATCCAAAGATATTCTTGAGGAAGTTACTGGGAAGACTTGCTCTAGTATTAATTTGAATCAAATTCAACTGCAACTTAAGGAGCAATTGGAAGAGCAAAGGGTTCTGCTTGTTCTTGATGACGTTTGGAACAACAAGTTTGCTTCAAATTGGCAAACATTACTGAGACCTTTTCAGTGTGTGGCTGAAGGAAGCACAATCCTTGTTACAACGCGTGACAAAAGTGTGCCACTATTGATATGTTCAGTTCCATCTCTGAGCTTGATCCCACCTCATCATCTGCAGATATTGAATGATGATGATAATTGGTCATTGTTTGCAAAACATGCATTTGATCATAGAACTTCCAATCTGCGTCCAGACTTGATTGTAATAGGCAGAAAAATTATTAGGAACTGCAATGGTTTACCGCTGGCATTGAAAACACTTGGAGGGCTACTACGGTTCGAAGAAAATGCAGGAAAATGGACTGAGATATCAAAGAGCAGCATGTGGGATCATCCCTGGAGTGAGAACATTCTTCCACCTCTAATGCTGAGCTATCACCACCTACCATCACATTTGAAGAGATGTTTTGCTTATTGTGCTATATTTCCTAAAGGCTACAGATTCAAAAAACAAGAGCTGATTGTTCTGTGGATGGCAGAGGGTTATCTTCTCCAGTCTAGAGGGAATAGAGAAACGAGAGAAGTTGGTGAAATTTACTTTGACAATTTGGTATCGAGGTCATTTTTCCAGCCATCGAGTGGGGATAGTTCTTGGTTCGTTATGCATGATCTGTTGAATGATTTAGCTAGCTTTGTGTCTGGCAACTTTGGTTCCAGGTTGGAAGGTGGTGTTTTCTCCAACCTGGTCAAAGAGACTCGCCATTTATCATACACAAGAATGGAAGACTATTTTGAGGAGAAATTTGAAGCAGTCTTTGAAGCCAATTTATTACGGACATTCTTGTTTGTGGAAGGTTTAGAAATTCACTGGTCAATATGCATAGATAATCATGTAGTTGAGAAGTTACTTTTGAAACTCAAGCGTCTGCGAGTGTTATCTTTATCACACTCGAAGTTTCTCACTAAACTACCCAGCTCACTTGGCAAACTGAAGCATCTAAGGTACCTAGATCTCTCCTGGACATCAATAACAAGGGTGCCTGAATCTGTGTCTAGGTTGTATTATCTGGAAACCTTACGTTTCTACCAGTGCAGCTGCCTTGTTGAGTTACCGACCAATATCAAATGGCTAATCAACTTATGCCTTCTTGATATTAGAGGAACAATCCTAATAAAAATGCCACCACACATGAGTAAGTTGAAAAAGCTGATGAGGCTAGCTTATTTTGTCACAGGAAAAGAAAGGGGGTGTACCCTTAAAGAGTTAGGGGAGCTTAATCATCTATCTGGTGCGCTTTGCATAAAGAACCTTGAACATGTCATTGATGTTCATGATGCTGAAAAAGCAGACTTGAAGAGTAAGGTGCATCTGAAGGAGTTGGAGTTGAGATGGGAAAGCAGTCGAGAAGATTCACTGGATGTAATTGAGAGACTAAAGCCTCATTCTGGCATTGAAAGAGTGTCCATTGTAGGCTATGGAGGGTTCAAGTTACCAGATTGGTCGACAGACCCGTCGTTGTCAAAGGTGGTTTCTGTAAAGCTTATTGAATGTAATAACTGCTCCTCTTTACCTCCACTTGGCTAATTATCATCCTTGAAAGAGCTCTACATCGAGGCTTGTCATGGTGTAGAAAAAGTTGGAGCTGAGTTCTATGAGAGTGATGGATACTCATTGAAAACGAGGCCTTTTAGATCACTCAAAACTATGGAGTTTAAAAGGATGGGACAATTGAAAGAGTGGAATTCTTACGAGAAAAGAGATGATGACAGTGGAGCTTTCCCTGTGCTGGAGAAGCTTTACATAAGAGATTGTCCAAAACTAGTGAAGGCCGTCTCCAACGATCTTCCTTCTTTGTTCACTTTTGAGATTGTGGGATGTCCGAAACTTCAAGTTTCTTCACTGGAATTAACTACTTCCAACTTCAATGTGCTCTTGGAGGATGATTCTCGAAAGCTGCTGATGAGGCAACATCATCTACAGATTTTGTGGTTGGTTTCTCAAGCCTCACCGCTAGATGGGTTGGATCGAGTTAATGCTCATGTGGAAGGGATTACGATTGAGAATTGTACTTCACTTAGGTACTTCCTGCTTGAATCTTTCCCCAACTTGAAGACTCTTTATATTGGTTCATGTCCACACCTTGAGCAACTTTATGAGCCTATGGCGACACAAGGACCTTTCACATGCCTCTATTACTTGGAAATCAGCAACTGCCCGAGTTTAGTATCTTTTCCAGAGGGAGGATTGCCTGCCCCGAATTTGAGAAGTCTTATTGTGCATGATTGCTTGAAAATGAAGTCACTTCCAGAACACATGCATTCTTTCCTCCCTTCCCTGACTGAGCTGTACATAACAACCTGTCCAGAGCTTGGTTCATTTCCAGACGGTGGGCTGCCCTCGAAGCTTGAAATCCTTGATATCAATGGTTGCGACAAACTTATTGCCAGCATGTTGCAGGGCAATTGGCAAGCTCCTTGCTCTCTTGTTGAGTTCCATATTGGTTATGGCAAAGATGTAGAGACATTTCCGAACCAGATGTTGCTGCCGTCCACCCTCACAACACTCCAAATTCTGGGTCTTCATAACTTGAAAACTATGAACTGCCAAGCACTTCAATGCCTCACCTCCATCACAAAGATGGGAATCGGAAACTGTGACAACCTGGTGCCTTTCTCTGTGGGGGCTTTATATCAGCGACTAGAGTCCCTTGACATCTATGGTTGCAGCAAACTCATTGCTGGTCGCTTGCACTGGAACTTGCAACTGCTTCCCTTCCTTTCACACTTGGGTTTTGGTGACAATGAAGATGTGGAGTCATTTCCCGAAGAGACACTGCTTCCCTCTACTCTTACTTCTCTGGCTGTCTGTAATCTTCAAAATCTGAAGACTCTCGATTACAAGGGACTTCAGTGTCTCACATCTCTGAGAAAATTGAAGATTGAGAACTGCTCCAAGCTTCAGTCCCTTCCAGAAGATGGGTTGCCTCCAACACTTAGATCTCTTGAGATTAAAGATCTACCAAATTTCAGGTCACTTGATTGCAACGGGTTTAAGAATCTCTATTCTCTTAGATTATTCAAAATCTACGACTGCCCTCATCTGCAATCCATGCCAAATGAGGGGCTCCCTTCCTCGATTGCTTCGTTAAGTATCAGTGGTTGTCCCTTGTTGGCACAAAGCTGTCAACGTGCTAAAGGGAGGGATTGGCACAAGATATCACATATTCCCAACATACAAATCAATTTCCAGAGTATCAATTGAGTCATTTTCTTCCAAGCCATCTTTCAGCTCCGGCTACGAGTTGAGCTAACTTTATACATTTAGTTGGTTGATCCTAGTAGCTGTAGACTGGTGTATGTTTGGGTTCCCTACATAATTTCCCTGAAAAGTGAAATATGTGTGATACTGGCATCAACCCTCAGGTAAACTATAGTAGAGCCTCAAGTCGACTAGTTATTATACCTTGATACTAGTTTTTATGCAGACTATTTTAGATTTCTTTTTGAACGGAAACTATGACTTAGAGATGGTATGTTGACCACTTCACATATTTGAATAGGTGGCATTTTGTTGGAGCATTGAGCTTGAGTGATGTAATCTGAGGTGACGCATTGCTTCAAGTTGTGATCGGACTGGTACGAACACCAGAAAAAGGTAGTTAATCTGCTTCAAATATCTCTAAAAGTGCATTTATTTGTGTTACCTGCCATTGCCTGTGAGAGTAGTAGATAAGAGAATCTTCTGGACTCTTGATCTCGAGTAGTCTATGAGACGCAAATGACATTGAGTATCTATTGTTTCAAGTGCAACTCTATATTGTCAAGGATCTCAAAGATATCATTCATATCTTGGATTGCAAATCGCTTGCTTGCTTCACAACATACCTGGTGACTAGCTTTCTATTCACCCAGTCAAGCTCAATAAACATAATGTGTAAGTATTCCACCAACATACAGAAGTTCATATAGGTAAATTCTAAGTCTTGGGACTTAACTAGTGTTTTGCATACCACTTTGAGTTACCCATGTAGTGTTCTCATGGCGGGTCTGATTAGTACATCAAATCTCTGTTGGAGAAGAAATCCTTGATGCACAAGGATTGGGGTCGAGGCGCCAAAAGCTGTTACAGATAGAGTTTGTCTGTCGTTTAGTCAATACTGCTTCGTTTGAGTATGTCTGGTTGAGTCCTTAAGTTTAGTTTGTTGCATTTGAGTTCTGCGAATTGGGTTTGATCTGTAATCTGTTAATAGTTCTCAGCGTGTTAGTTAGTTGTGGGAGCTGGAAATCAGGATTGTGGGAGTTAGTGTCGTCGGTAGAAGCCCGAGTTGTGTGGTAGATATCAATGTATTTATGTCCCTTGCTTTACATTCAATAAAAGTGTGTCGGATTGTTTCATATTGTGTTTGTGGATCTCACATTTGCATTTAGACATCTATTAATACTAGCCTCGATGAACTATTACAGCTAGGGATATTTAAGGACTATTCTATGCTTATAATTACTAAGATCTTAACACACTACATAGGTAACATAAACATTATTGGAATGCGACACTGGATATCTGTTTTATAATAGTTTGCCTTGTTTCATTTCGTACAGGTCTATTTGCTGGGTTTCGTGGAGCTTAAGGGACTCTTGTAGCATCTAATCTATACCCAAGCTACCGATGGTGCCGATCCTAGAGTGACTACTGTGGCTTCATTGCTATTCAGGAGGCCTTTGAAGGTCTACAATTTGTTGTGTGCTGTAAATTTGTAATTCACTATTCATCACGAACAAGTAGTGTTATCTGTACATGAGTCGCCTCTCCAACATCAAGCACCATTTTTGGCTTTTCGTAAGCGACAACCGCCACACCATTATCAATCCTTTCCCCCAGCTAGGTTAAACTATAGAACAATTAGTGGGGGAGAAACAATAGGAAAAGAGAAGGGAAAACAGATCCCCCTAATCAAAATGTTTGGGACATCGTATCATCTCCACCACCAAAACTGACGGAACAAAAAGACCTTCCTCATTCGGACATTGTAAGTCATGAACGCTCTGGCTTTAATAGGGTCAGCATTCAAGTACTCGAAGGCATACATTTGCTTACCCTCTTCCAATCCATCTATCTCCATCACCGCCTTCAAAAGTTCCGACGAATCTAGAGGCGTTTTACTTTGCTCAACTGCGTCGGCCAAACGACGGATGCTCGATGCAATTGCCAGCATTGCCTCCTGAAGTGCCTCTCTGCTGCTTGGTCTTTTGGGAAGCTGCTGCTTTACAGGTTGAATAATTGGCGGTCGTGGTGGAAGAAAAGGTTCTTGATGACGTCCATCTTGCATAAACTCTTCTTCTTCTTCTTCTGGTACTGTATATGAGTTGGTTCCATCAGTGTCACTTGCATCTTCTGTACTTGGCGACACGAATGAAGCAGAGTCTTCTTCAAAACTTCTTGTATGATAATGTCCGTCTCTCGTCTTAGCCCAACTACTAGGCACTTGGTAGTTCCCACAAACGACTTGTAGTTCTTCGTACATATCAATCTGCTTCCCTTTAATTCCTCTTGCATCTGGATGTGCCTAAACATCCACCAGCAGTGAAAATGTTTAATTTAAAAGCACAATGGACTAAACATAAGTGATGGAAGTACAGTACTTTTGCCAAAATACGACACCCTCTGTATTTGTTTTAGTTATATAGAATAAAAGAACTTCATTAGAAAGAAGTCGAGACAACGCTAATAATCATATTTCTTCGATATAACCTTTCACAACTATTATTCACCCTGAACCCCACAAATTATTAATAGCTTAAAAGTGCAGAAGCATATGACAGAATAGAAGGGGCAAGTAAACTTACAGCAATGTATCTCTTCCAAAGCTCCTCACTTTCACAGTCAATCATCTTCGTACCAGGATTCCACCTGAACCCATCTTGATTAAGTGCATCCCTTATGACCTTGTACCTTTTCTTGATGGTCTTAAGCCGATTCACAACTTTCTGATTGTTCAAGTTCAAGTTAAACTGAGAAATTGACAGCTATGCAAGCGGCACTATATGCATTCTCGTTGAAGCATTTGTCTATCTTGTTCCCTTTCCTAGCCTGAATAGCTAGGGATTCGATCAGGCACTTGTCCATTCCAATGGACCAGACAACGTTTCTCCCCTTGTGCTTCATCTCCCTTCTCTGAGCTTGCAAGTCGCAGTGATCCATTTTCCTAAGTAAAAGAAATGACATCCCAGTCAATCACACTGTTGAAAGAGAACTTCCTCATTTGCTAAGCTTGCAAGTGGTAGCAGTCATCAATTCCCAAGCCAACCAAAGGGGAAATAAAGGCTCCTCCTCAGTCAATCATGCTATTGGAAAAAAATTGCCACCACTAGATTCTTGTAAAATTTGATCTAAACCTACTGAAAGAAGCAGCACCTTCAGTTTCAGCATCAAAACAAAGTAAATCGCAATCATAGCACATTAGAGTAAGAAGTCCAGGAAATGTAAACCTATCAGATTGACAATTCCATGCAAATAAAGGAAGTCCTTCTGCAATAGATAAGCTGAGTGGGGACCTTTCCAGGTGGACCACATATGCTTCTTTCATTTGGGGTTTCGGCAGAGTGTAGATAACCACATGAAAGCAGAATTAGATCTGGGAAAGGAGACCATTAACCTCAATAATGTAAAAGGCAAGCAGAAAAGACAAAAAAAAAAAATGCAACATTCCCTTCAGATCTTAATTCTGTTTTCATGTGGTTATCTACACACTATATTGTAAAAAGGCATACATCAAAGACCAAAAACAAAATGTCTCGCTTAGTTCATTTGCATGCACAGTCATAATATCTTAGGTAAACTTACATGGAAAGAGGGAAGCAAACATGTATCTAGATTTCAGTTGAAACACACTCAGGCATACAAGTACAAGCAAGCAACAAGGAAAGGAAGTTATGGAAAACTCCAAGATTCTTGTCTCTTTCCACTTTAGATCATTAGTATCTGGTCATCCAAGTCATGGAAAAGGAAAGTAAAATGTGGTAATATTGAAGCTCAGCAAAATGAAAGCCCATCTGAATAGTTAGTTGAACAAGTTTTACCATCACTATGATAATGACAGCACAAACCAACCAACCAACCATTTGCTTAAAAACATTCTAAATGAGAACATGGTGAATCTAGTTCAGGCGAACAAGTGATGTCATTGCACCCTCACAATATCAACACATTTGTCTAGCGGCTTAGCTGCCTGTGAACAATGTGTTCCAACTTCCACGGGAACACATTAAGAACAAACCGCCGGAGTCCCATTGGATCCAGAGGTGGGATTTATTATTTAATTTCAGCGTGTAACACATCATTACACAAATCAGCACAATGTACGAGATGATGAGCATTCTAGTTCAACCGATATGAGGTCTTCAGCCAAGGAATGAAACCCTTGCCACTATATTATAATCCGAAACTAAAGCTATCGCTACAAACTTGATCTTCAGAACAAGCTAAGATGTAACCGCCATTGCGTCCCAAGCTGGAAAGTCAAAGTAAGAAGTATGAACACTGTACTAACAAACTCATTCTACTGAGATGGAGCTAACGCAATAACCTTTGCTCCAAACTAGCAATTCACTCCGTATGAATGCACATCGGTGAACTCAAACGAAAATCCAAGTTCAAGCACTAAGTGAAATTCCTGCACATTTGGAATCGGGGAAGTACCTGTGCGAAAGGAGGGAGAGAGGATGTGAGGGAGAAACAGAAGGCAGTGGTCTTTTCGCCGGAGACCGAAGCTGACACTGACAAGTGACAACCGTGGGATTGCCGACGGACTAGAGCGACGATGCTAAAATTGAGCACGGAGCAATCTATCTCACTTCATTTCAACCATTAAGATATGGATTAGGGTTGCTATCATCGTTCTTTCCTCTTGTTTGCTCTGTCATTTACCTTTTTTTTATTTAGCTGGAGAAAAAGAAATGGAAAAAGAGTGCAAATTTTTCCCGAGCTTCAGCACTTTCTCGAAAACAAAACGCGTGAAGAAGAAAGTTCAATTTTCCGCAGGATCTACTTATAAAAAAATCCCCAGGATCGCTCACGCGATGGGCGGTGTCAAGTGTCAACATTGCGTGTCAAGGTCGTTTGACTGTTGGAACGGGGTGCTATTGCTAACCATCTACACATAATATAATACGCCGAAGGAAAAAACGGGAGCTCCATTTCAAATTTCCTGCAACTAGAATGAAAGTAGCAATGACATTTTGGTCTTCACAATTACTTTTTTTCCATTTCAAATTCCCTGCAAATAGGGTGAAAGTAGGAATGACATTTTGGTCTTCACAATTACTTTTTTTTATTCATTAAAAAGACACATACTGGGATTCAAACCATGACCATTTTAAAGAAAAGCAAGGATCATAACCAATCACACTAAGTACATTTGTTGTATCTTTTTAAATTAAAAACATATAATAGCAGTGAGGAAAAAACCCTTCCCCTATTTCAAATTCCCTGCTCCAGGAGTGTTTGTAGGAAGGGTAGAATAGGGAGTGTCAATTTTTTTCTCTTTCCTCTGTGGAACCGGCCAACTTACCGTACACATGCGGATTTAAACGGGTCCAGGAGTGTCAATTTTTTTCTTTGAGCCCTTTTATTTCTCCGTCGTGATAAAATATACATGAAAAGGCAACAAAAAATACTTCTTTTTAAAAAATAAAAAATTTAACAATAAACTAATACATGGTATCATAATGATCAAATTATAGTGTATTTTATATGGAATCGTTTGGTATTTGTTAGTAAAAAACAAAACAGAAAAATCTATTTGGTTATTTTAAACATTAAAACGATCCTAAACATTTTCAGTTCATTTTGAATTTCTATGGTTTTATTCCCGAATAAGTGATGTGAAAATGCGAATTGCAGTCATCTCTTTTCTTTCACTATTTTTTATTTTTAAATAGAAAATTTAAAAGTAAAGAATAATTAGAATTTGGCATGGGTCGGTCAAACAGGCTGAATTTCAAGTTTTGGCCTGTTTTGATCAAGTCTAATTTATAATCACATGGTTCCCTGATACCCGATAAAAATCTCAATCCAAACCAGTTTGGCAGGTGAGTCCGTATTTACCATCATTTTCTAGGGATACGACAACGGCGGTTCCTATCCAAATCGTGTTGTTCGTTCTTGATTTCCTTAGATTTTATCATGGCCTGACAAAAACCAGAAAGCACAATAACGACAAGATGAAAGTTTTATAAAGCAAATTAATCGGCCAACGGGCCGAGTAAAAGCTAGCAACGATTGTGAGATGCTCATTTCCCGAAAACCGACGGGATATGCGATTTTTTATTCGATTTTCTGGAATTCGGTTTCTATAAAACTTACTCCACCTCATCATATTACCAGAAACAATATTGTTTCACAAGGTAACAGGTACTTGATTTTGGTTCATAAGGTCGATTTTTGATTCGTTGCATCATTCATGTCTCTTTCCTGCTAAAATTCATTATTTTTATCACGTGTTTCCCTAAAAAAACTATACAAAAATAAGTTATACACTCCATTACAATATCAAATTTCATACCTCACCTTCCTCCGGCCAACTGGCCGGGGCCACGCTAGTTTATTTTAGTTAGCATCCAATTGTATTTGGGGAAATTATGCAAAAATAATACCGATGGTGTTTAGTTGGATTTTATTGCGGCCACACAGGCCTGTCTCTGGTGTATGGGCCCTTCAGTAGTCTAAGCCCAAAACCAAGCCCAAATTCGAGAGTGGGACTGCGAGGTTGCGAAAAGCCACGATGTCTTCGCAAGTTATATTAGTACGGACTACGGAGAAAATTCGGCCGGAGGTTTTAGGGTTTTGTGTTCTTCAGCGTTCGGTGACCCAGTCGTTTGCTTTCTTCTTCTCCTCCTCCTCCTCACTGAACTATACCCGAAAGGAAAACAAGTAAATCCGCAAGCATGACTGCTGAGACGCAGGAGCAGTTGTTGGCCGCCCAGCTCGAAGCTCAGAAGCTTCAAGATGTAATCCCTTGCTCTCTATCTGGTGCCGTAGAACGTCTGTCTTTGTCTCATGTTGATATGGATCTAGCATCGTTTTCGTTCTTCTAGATGTTTTATCTTCTTCTTTTCCGATGGATCTCAATTGGGTATTACTGTGATGGTCCAAGCTTTTTATTTCCTCAGAAAGCTTGTATTTTTTTATGGTAGGTTTTTTTTATCAGATCTGCCGGATACAAATGTTTGAGGTTTCTGTTCGTGGGATTGTTTGCTTTTGTTCTTAGTCAGCAGTGAGAAGCAGATGAGGTTTCGATTTCGGTTTGGACCTCATGTGTGTGGGACTTAAATTCATTGTTATTGATAACGGCCGGTGGGTTGTGCTGTATGTTATGTTGGATAGACGTTTTGCCCCCTAAACTCGGTCAAAACCTGTTGCTTTTGTTCAATGCTAGTTGAAATTGGCACTGCTCCTATTGCTGCAAGTGATTTTTCTTGTTCTAAAAGATGGATTCTATGTCAGGAGTTTGATCCTTCATTATGGAGATAAGTTGAACTACTGATCCTGATATGGAGTTGATAATGGAATATGCTGAACAATCTTGATTACTACTGAACATTTTGTGGAGCTGGGAATTACAATCGAAACAAAGGACATAACTTGCTTAGACATATCCCCTTCTGATTTGAGTCGTGAGGTTTAGAAGCAAACTACGCCATGGTGCCTTTTCTTGTCTTCCTCTAATTGTTGCTACTGAGATTGGATTTATTATGTAGAAGTCTTTTATGCAGTCAGCCTCAATAGTTGTGGCTATACATACAGTACATATGTTGTTATCTGTTTGCCCTGTCATAGTTGTACAGCTCAAGCAATACCACCGCGTCTTTATTTGCCTTTACTCTCTTCTGATGATGAATTTTAAATGCAGCCTGAACAACCCGTAGTTGAGGATGACGAAGATGATGACGAGGATGATGAAGATGACGATGACAAGGATGAAGATGACTTGGAAGGTAGAGACTGAGCCCTTATTGTTCATTATCACTGTTTGGTAGTATATTCTTGATAGTCTTAGCTGTAAGGAGTTCCTTGTCAATTGCACAACTTGCGTTACAACCTATCAGAAGCTCCAATAGGTATAATTTTAGTTATGATACTGCCTACCCAGGGTTAATGTCAATTGCTTCATTGTGCTGACCCTTTGCATTTATTATGGAGTCTTCAAGTCTTCTACCGTGACTTCGTCTGATGTGAGTGTGAATCTACTTTGTCTAGTGTACGAGGTCAGAATTATCTGTCATTTGAATGGTTTCTTATATCTTGCTTTTCGAATCCTTTTTTGAAATTTGATCTGTCTAAACCTGCAAAAGCTTTGTTAGTTGATCTATGCCGCAACCCTTACTCCTTGTCTGTTTGGTCTCATCTTAACTAAGTTATTAGTCCTCTGATAATGAAATATATAGAATCACCTTTCTTTTTGTTTCACCAATCAAATTTATCTTCTCTTTTTACTCACAGGGCTTGGAGATGGAAGTGGCAGATCAAAGCAAACTAGAAGTGAAAAGAAGAGTCGTAAAGCAATGTTGAAGCTAGGAATGAAGCCCATGACTGGTGTCAGTCGAGTTACTGTCAAAAAGAGCAAGAATGTAGGTTATCTCCTTCTCCTCCCCACTATTCAAAAACCAGTCTTCTTTCATCTTGTTTAACTCTGGGATTAATAGTGAAATTTCATTTCTTAAAACAAAACAGATTTTGTTCGTCATCTCGAAACCCGATGTCTTCAAGAGCCCAACATCAGACACCTACATAGTCTTTGGAGAGGCTAAGATTGAGGACATAAGTTCACAACTCCAGACTCAAGCGGCAGAGCAGTTCAAGGCTCCCGATCTGAGTCACGTTATTCAGAAACCCGAGACTTCCGCCTTGGCTCAGGACGATGAGGAGGTGGATGAAACTGGAGTCGAGCCAAAGGACATTGAGTTGGTGATGACACAGGCAGGAGTATCTAGGCCACAAGCTGTGAAGTCTCTCAAGGCTGCAGATGGTGACATAGTTTCTGCCATCATGGAGCTTACCACCTGATGTGCTGAACTCGAAAAGTGAGAATAGCAGGGCCTATAAATATCTCTGTTATGATCCATGGTGCTGCAAACTGTTCCCCGAGGCTGGAATATTTCTCTGATCTTGCTGTTCGCTGAATTTGTGGTCTCCTGATGTATTACTGAAACAAGGCAAACTTGGTTTTTGCTTGGAGTGGGATGCTTTTGTTTTATGGGTCGAGAAGGTTAAGGTTAAGGTTGCTATTTAAGCGATCTTTCTAATGTTCCCATCCATGTTTCTTGCACGCCAAGCTGGGTTTTTAACTGCTTTGAAGTTGGTGAATTACTGTAGAAGAATATACAAAGTAAAGTCCGCGTTGCGAACTAGAAGTAACAATACGTAACAAGAAGGAAACCTATTAAACCTTAAAATTGTGTATTGTTCATGTTTCTCCCAAATGATGTAAAATGTCCAAACCATAAAAGCCAACCAACCTTTATCAACTGGGCTTTGAGATATCGACTGTGGGGGGGTTACAGCTGGGCTTCGATTCTGATTTACATATTGAGGTACATTTCATGTGTTTTCCAGTAGGAAATAAATGCAGGATCGTGCACCCCTAGTATTGTACACTGTAATTTGTGGAGGCCAATGATTCCAATCAACTGGCTGCATTCTCTAATATCCAAGTGCGTCATATTCTTTAGAGCAGATAAATCCGGCAGCTCTATGATCGACTTGCACTGTGACATAGCTAGCACTTCCAACGATCCCAACCTCTCAACTCCCATGACTTGCGTTAACTGCATACATCCGCTGATATTCAAATACCTGAGATGCTCAAGATGAGATAGATCTGGCAATTCGTAAATCGACTCGCAGCTCGACATAGCTAGCACTTGTAACGATTCCAAACTCTCGAGCCCTGTGATCTCCATCAACTGTGTGCATCCGCGGATAATTAACACCTTCAGATTCTTCAGTTCTGATAAATCAGGCAACCTCACAACTAATCCGCAATCAATCAACTTTAGCCGTACCAGCGACTCCAGTCTTTCTAGCCTTGTGACTTCTGAGAGTTGTGTGAATCCTTTAATTTCCAAAGTTGTCAAACTTGTGAGACCACACAGATTCGGCAACTTGAGAATTGATGTACACCCGCTAATAATCAACTGCTTCAGGTTTCTGAGATTGCGCAGATGTGGCAGCTTCTTTATCCCCGTGCACCCATCCATCTGCAGCCATTCTAGCGATTCCAACCGGTCAAGCTCTTCCATCTCGGTCAATTGTGTTGCATCGCAAATGGTTAGTTTCTTCAAACTCTTGAGGCCAGATAGATTCCACAGTTTCCTAATGGAGTTGCAGTGCGAAATATTTAGCACTTCTAGCCACTGCAATGCGTAAAACCCCGTAATCCCGGCCAGTTGCTGGCATCCTGAAATATTCATAACTTGTAGATTAACAAGACCGGACAGATCCATGATCTGTACCGATGGCACAAACGTAGTATCCAAATCATCGCCTGGACGGGATCCATGAACATATAACTTCTTCATGTTGCTGAAAGAAGAGAGACGAAGTAGCAGTGTTTCTATTGATGGAAAGCCTTCCAAATTCAAAGTGTTGAGTGCTTGCAGAGGTTGAATAAGGCCTTCAACATTGGCTAACTTGGGACAACGGCTTATTTCCAGACGTGTTAAACTGGACCCTCCCATCGATGCATCCGGCCCTTGGATTTCAAACAGGATCCTGCAACTACGGATGACCAATGTGTTTAACTTGGTCAAATTGGCAATACAGGGCAGTTTTTCCAGAGCACCACAGTGTTCCACAGTAAGCTGTTGCAGGAGCACCAAATTTTGCAGACCGTCGAGACTTTTCAGGTTCTGGGCACTAGATACTTGAAGAGTTTCCAACATTCCCAGCTCTCCCAGACCACGTATCTCGTCTACCAAAACCAGTTCAAGTCGTAGTTGGGTCAAATTACTTAGATTCACAAGATTCGGCAGTGTCTCCAATTCGAAACAACAAGACAAAGCAAGGCTGTTTAGAGAGGATGGGAGATGGGAAGATGAGTCTCTCATGATCCCATTACTACTAGTACCACTGATAGTACTCTCTGCTGTTGACTGCTCCACCTGCATTAGTAGACTTTTGCCTCTGAAAAAAGACACTGTCAGTATCTTCAACTTGGTCAGGTGCAACCATATATCTCCAGGAATTTCAGGCGCACAACGCTCAAGGCATAGCTCCTCCAAGTCCTTGAGCTCCAACAGATTGGGAAACCTGGGGGTCGAGATGGTTAATTGCTTCAAACTTGTGGGGAATGCAGGTACAGATATAGGTGCATCCGCCGGAGTCACCCTCAAGATTTCCAAAGAGCGTAGGTCACCAATACCAGCAGGGAATTCTTTCAAATTTGGGGCATCAATCTCTGTCAGATCTTGAAGCATTCCAATGTCACCTTTCAACGCTGATATCTTAGAGCCCAGGAGGCTCAACCTTTTCAAATTCTTGAAATTGCCGATATGCAGTTCCCCTCCCATGTAATAGCAGCCCTCAACATTTATCACTTCTAGACCGCGACAGGAGGACAAGTCAGGAGCTTTCACCAGGCCACTGCATCCCTCTAGATTTACCACTTTCAGCTTCTTACCCTCCTTCTGTATCATTGCAGTTACAATCAATTTTCCTTCTTAATAGAAAAAAGAGAGGAGGAAACATAGTTTGATTTACAGTACCTTCGCTCTTTGCCAGCCTCTCCAGTCATCCCTAAGGTAAGATCCTTTCAAATCAAGAATCGCCACTTTCTTCAAGTTAACATCATCTGGGATTGAACGACAGAAGCGCAACTGAAGCCATAGCGTATTCGGAAGCATCTTACTGAAGTCTCCAGTCATGTTGCAATGCCTCACTTGAAGAAACCTCACCCCTGATAACTTCCTAAATCCTTCTTCTGTCAACTTTCGAACATCTCGATCTCCCATGTCGATTCTAAGAGCTTCCACCTTGTCATTTCCCTACAATATGAAACAATTCTCAATCTCCTAATTATTAATAGCAGGTTTCAACGCTTTTATTGATCTGCAAAAACTGCAATAGCAGGTAAAAAATTCAAAGTTACTATACTTATAGTGACTTCAAAGTTACTATACTTATAGTGACTGGAAGCTCTAATATTGAACATTCTATGTTTCTATGTTTCAGAAAAATGTATTCTTCCGTAAGACACAGGCCTACGCAATCATAGTAGTCGCTACTGCAAACAAAAAATCAAACAGTGAGGAGCTTGCTAGCTTACATGTACTGATAAGACGAGTGGTATGCTAGGAAAAAGAATACTGAATAATCAAAATGCAAGTAGAAAAGGTACCTGGCCATTTTCTAACATATCCAACGCCTCATCGTTGGACCATATTCTACTGCGTTTCCATGGTTGTTGAATATTTTCTGCCTGAACAATAGCTCGACCAAGATCTTTGATAAGGTCATGCATCTCGAACTCATTGCTCTCGTTAACTTTTATAAGAGATTTAAAAATAAGATTGTTCACACCACTTTCTGGATAAAACTTACAATCAGTCCACATATAAAAAGGTAACTCTTTGGATTTTCCAATGAAAAAACAAGCAATATCTAGAAAAATTTCCTTTTCTGTGGAAGTCAGATCATTGTAACTTATTTTCAATATCTCATGCACACCATTACTAAAAGGTCTCTCCTTCAATTCCTCCAACTTTTCTCTCCAAATTCTTTTCTCTTTACGAAACAAAAATGATCCTATAACCTTTAAAGCTAAAGGAAGTCCTGCAGCGATTTTTACAAATTCCTCACAAAGATCTGCATTTTCTTCAGGGGGATCATCCATTCGAAAGGCATGTTTTCCAAAAAGCTTAAAAGAATCATTGTGACTCATTAACTTGGCTTCAAACAATGTGCATCCTTCTAAGAATTCCAAAACCCTTTTGTCTCTTGTCGTCACAATAAATCGGCTTCCAAAGAAATAATCTTGTAGTTTTCCAAGGATTTTTTCGAACTCAAACCTCTCGTCTACGTCATCGAGAACAATGAAAACCTTGTACTTGCAAACCTTGTCTCTAATTATGTGGATCCCTTCGCTAGTATCTCCAACACGACTATCATGCCTCAGAATGCTAGAAATGATCTTGTTTTGCAATGTAACGACGCCATCGTTCTTCAACAATGTTTCGCGTATATCTTCCAGAAAGCAAGAACGCTCAAAGCGTGAAGAGACCTCGTTATAGACGGCTTTACTTATGGTGGTCTTGCCAATACCACCCATACCGTGAATCCCAACCATTTTCAGACGTTCACCATCTAAGTCCAGCAAATCTCTCACTTCCTTAACGCGGGATTCAATACCGATCAACTCATCCGTCTCTATTTTGTAACTTCCCATCAAATGTGACCATACTTGTGAGAAAATGTTATCTATTACAGCTCCTTGTCTGGAAATAAAACAAGAGCCTCACATCACCTAATCTACAAAAGAACCTACAAAATGAAAAGAGGAACAGAGGAAGAAAGAAAACATCAAATCGTTACTTACCTGTCCGATTCGGTGACATGCCATCCTTTCAGTTGTCCGACGAATTGGAGAGCTTCCTTCCACTCCTTTGTGGTCTCTGCATCGTATTTCCGACTGTGCTGTAGAAACGCTCGACTATAATAAGAACGCTCTTGGCGTCGAACATCTCTCGGCTCCACGAAGTAGAAAACGGGCAGTAAGATGTGGCCTTGGTTTCGATTTAAGGATTCCACCATGAGAGAGAGCTCTTCGAGGCACCATTTACTGGAAGCATAGCCTTGGGAAAGGATTGGAATGTAGATTTTAGATTCCTGGATAGCCTGGACGAGCGAGGGAGCAATCTTGTCGCCCTTTCGGAGCTCTTCGTCGTCATAGAAGGTGCGAATCTTGGAATGGACCAGGAAGTGGTAGAGAGAATCCGCAAAAGTTGTTCGCACATCGGGACCTCGGAAGCTCAGGAAAACCTCATACTTTAAAGCTGGACGAGGCCGCGTAGTAGAATCAGAGGAAGAAGAGTCAGGCTCAGAGGAGGGATCTGATCGATTCCACTCCATAAGTGATTCTCTTCCAAATTGGGGGTGGATCTGATCGATTGTCTCTGTCTCTTGATCGAACGAGAAGGGATGCCAGAAAGTTTGTAATGGTTGAGAGAGAAGAGGTTGCAGAGAGAGAGAGGTTGACTGACTACTTTATCTACCAAACAGATTCCGTCGGTGCGTACTTAGAAATGTCAACGAAACAGAGAAATAATTTTGAGTGGGTAGGGTTTCCAACTTTCCATTATTAACCTTCAAATCTAACCTCTTCCAAAACCAAATTGTCAAATCTAATTATACACCAAGGTTATACACTCTGGAGTCTGGACAAAGAATTGTAAAACCATATCATAGATCGTACTGGAAAAGTCAACGGTATGATATTTTGTGCTGAAGCTGTGATTCAACTGTGTATACCACTAAAAATCGTCTACCAATTTAGCTTTCGATGGGTGTTTTTTCTAATCTGACTGATTCCGCCGGTGCGTACTTTGAAATGTTAACGGAACAGAGTTTTAATTTTGGGTTTCTAATTTCTAGCCTATGTGGTGTTCTGTCTATTGGTTGTCAACGATAAATAAATTTTTTCCATTAAATTCTATCGTTTTAGACTAGTTCGGATTATAGAAAAATTAGATTAATGGTGTGTTTACAATCCCTTTCACTTTGATATATATATACCATTACATGTTAGAGTGGTATGAGATGATATATTTTATAAAAAAAAATTATCACAAAGGGTCACGAGGAGCAACTGGTTTCTTTAGCAAAAAAATTCAAATTTTGAGTTAAAAATGAAGGTGGTATCAAAACAATAACAAGTGATCATGGTGGTATACAGTTTTTTTCTCAAAATATATTAAAATTAGATAATATTTTGTAAACCATAATTAACTCGTTTTATCTGTTCGAAAAATTTCAAAATTCATGTTAAAAAAAATATAATCTCATAAGAAATGGGGAAAATAAAAAATTAAGTCTTTTGATCTAACCTCGCCCAATAACCAAATTGTCAAATATAATTATACACTCCAGACCAAGGATTGTAAACCATATGGTATGTTGTATCGGAAAAGTCAGCAGTATTTTTTGTGCCGAAGCCGTAGTTCAATTATGTCGTACTGCTAAAAAGCGTCTGCCGATTTAGCTTTGATAGAAATTTTTTCTAATATGACTACTAGTATGCTACGGTTTTCAAACAATGTTCTATAACCGAACCATTTCATATAGTAGTCTTTAATCCATTGTCAACTGTCCTTTTTGTGTTTTTTTATTAACAGCAATCTGACCCCTATCATCCCCGCAATATTATAACATACTATATAAGCTTTTAAGGGAATGAGTTAGGTGTAACAAGACAACTATGTTTTCATCCTTTAAACTAGCGTGACCCCGCCTAGTTGGCCAGAGGAAGGTGATGAAGTATGTAATTTGAAAATGTAATGGGGTGTATAACTTATTGTTGTATAGTTTTTTTTTTTTGGTGGGAAACACGTGATAAAGATAGTGAATTTTAGCAGGAAAGAGACATGGATGATGCAACGAATCAAAAATCAGCCTTATGAACCAAGTTCAAATACCTGTTACCGTGTGAAACACTATTATTTCTAGTAATATGCTGAGGTGGAGTAAGTTTTATAGAAATCGAATTCCAGAAAACCGAATAAAAAATCTCCTATAAAATACACTATAATTTAATCATTAGATATCAAATGATTATATAATATATATTTTAAATTATAAAAATTGAACTAATCGGGTTGCTCGAGGTCGAACCATTTAATAAATTTAAAATATATTATATTTTAGTCGCTTAGATATAAAATAATAGCATAATATATGTTATGCTAGAGAAAATAGCATGTTTTAGGACGGCAAACCCATGATGTTCATTTGTTTTACTTGAAACTTGATGGTCAAATCTCGTACGAGTCAGGCCCATTCAACTCTTTTATTCTATGGTTAGCGGTTAGCCCAATAGAATCCATGCATTAGTTTATTGTTAAATTTTTTCTTTTTAGCAATAAAAAAGGAGTATTTTTTTCCCCTAGAAAAAGCTGCTCAGTGCTCACCTGCTCATGGTTCGCTTCTCTCTCTCTCTCGATCTCAATTATATCACTGCCGGTAGCCACTTCTCCCCATCCATATTTTCTTGTCCTTAATTTTAGCTCTGCAAACATTTTCCCTGCATGTCATCCGCCCCCCCCCCCCCCCCATCTCGAACCTCAATTTCCACCCCACTCTCGGTCTCTGTTTTCAATTTCTTAATCTTCCCTTCTCTTATCACTTGTTTAAACCCTCCTCTTTGTCTATCTTCGACGCTAGTTTAACAAAGAAGAAGAGAAAGCCACCAATCTTCAATAATACTGTATTGTTATAGTGAAGCGATATTGTGGATTTCTTTGTCACTTATTTGTTAGAGCTTTCAAATGATGGAAAAAGGGGTGGTTGATTATGATTTGATTAGATGACTCAATCTTTAAATTTTACTTGCATGCAATTTACCACCCTTCTTCATGAGCATGACTGGATCTTTTTAGTATGCTTGGATTTCTTTTCATAGGGAAGGAATTAGGCGATTAGCACACGGAAGAAGGATTGAGAAAATTATTTTGTAAACAATTATGAAGCTCTCTTTCTCTAATTATTTCATTTATTCTCGGCGTCGGTGGAGTCCAGATCCAGCATCGGAACAATCCAAGACTAGGTTACGGTGATAGCTATGGAGGCATGAAACAGATGCGGGCGTGACTGAAACCTGTTCTGTTTTTGTGGGCCGCAACAATTCCTAGGCCCGTTCAAGTCCGCACGTGTACGGTAAGTTGGCCCGTTCCACAGAGGAAAGAGAGAAAAATTGACACTCCATATTATACTCTTCTTACATACGCTCATGGAACAGGAAATTTGAAATGGGGGAATGGTTTTTTCCTTCTTGCTATTATATTATGTGTAGATTGAAGTAATTAGAATCCCACTTTTAAATCTGGAAGCAAGTAACCACTATCACAAAACATCATATTGTTTTTTAATTTATCTGCAATCATGAGATTGTTTCACTCAAAATAAACTATGTTTCATATGTTGAAGATCAGCATTATAGCTTGAATAGTTCAATTCGGCAATGATCTCAGCACTTACATATAAATTTTGTGTAAAAATGGTATGATTGCAACTATTCCCTATGCTAACAATAATCAGAATAGTCTTTGTTTACCGAAACTAACCAGCAAAACATTTCAAATCAGAAAAATGATGATACTGAAAAGTAGGGTTGGTATTCGGTAAACCGGTATTCGGTATTACCGAGTACCGAACCGGTTACAATCGGTATTCGGTATACCGAATACCGGCGGTAGCGGTATTCGGATGTACTTCTTGGCCAAACGGTATACTGAATACCGACCAGTCATATACCGACGGTAAATCGGTATACCGAATAAAAAAAACGACATCATAGTGGAATTGGGGGTTGTGGCATTTGTAAACCCTAAAATCTAAATCGAACCCCCCCCCCTCCCCCCCCCCCTCCCCCCCCCCCCCCCTCCACCTTGTCTCGCGTTTCCTCTGTTCAACTGTTCCTCTCCATCCCGAGGCCGATGCAAAATCCAGCGCCAGCATCCAGTACGCCGCGGCGCCACGTCCACCACCACGCGTCGTCTGTCTTCCGCTTCGCCAGCAGCAGTCCCTGCGCCGAAGGTCGGAAGGCGTACCCAGTGCCAGCAGCCAGCACGCCGCGTCGCCGCACTCCACCACCACGCCTCGTCTGTCTTCCTCTTCGCCAGCATCACTCAACCTTTCCATATTTACCCGTTTGACAAACCAACATCACTACTCTCTTAAAGACACATGTGCCTCATATTCACTCAAAAGTTATGTGTTTAAAAATACTGTTACTTTATGATAGTTATAACAATTAAGTCTATGTTAAGAATTCTACATCGCTTCTACACTTTCAAGAGTGCAATTCGATATATGCAATATTTGAATCAATGACATTTCGGTTGCTAACTGTGGTGGAAAAGTCTTATATTTTTCAAATTTAAGCTTCCTGTATGTTTTTATTTGAGAAATATCACACAAATGTGTTTATTGTAATTGGTTATGTTTCTTGTCTTTGTTCAAAGAGATCATGGTTCAAATCTCATTACTGATGTATTTTTCTATAAATAAGAAAATAATAAGTGATTGTGAAGATGAATCTACCCTTCCTACTTTCACTCTGAATGTAGAAGATTTGAAATGGGACTTCAAGTCTTCTCATTTGGTTTTTATTTATTGTGTAGATGTAGATGTAGATATTCAGTTTTCCCCTAAATCAAAACAATCAGGCCCCAGAGAAAAGAAAACCACGTCCTTAATTAAATTAAACCTAAAAAATCATTCAGGCCCAATAAACATTCAAACACAAATACATACAGCAAAAAACCCCCTTGTTTTCGGAATTAAAAAATTAAAAAGAAAAAGACCAACAACTCCTCCCTCCGTTTGCGCAGAAGCCTGGGAAAAAAGAATAGAGTGGGTCTCTACGGAGAAACTCCATATATTTATTGGAGGATGTGAAGATGAATCTACCCTTCCTACTTTCACTCTGAATGCAGGAGATTTGAAATGGGACTTCAAGTCTTCTCATTTGGTTTTTATTTATTGTGTAGATGTAGATATTCAGTTTTCCCCTAAATCAAAACAATCAAAACAATCAGGCCCCAGAGAAAAGAAAACCACGTCCTTAATTAAATTAAACCTAAAAAATCATTCAGGCCCAATAAACATTCAAACACAAATACATACAGCAAAAAAACCCCTTTTTTCGGAATTAAAAAATTAAAAAGAAAAAGACCAACAACTCCTTCCTCCTTTTGCGCAGAAGCCTAGGAAAAAAGAATAGAGTGGGTCTCTACGGAGAAACTCCATATATTTATTGGATTGGAGGAGGAGGATAAAAGGGGTTGGAATTAAACAGAGATAGTTTTGGCAATAGTTAAGCTAAAAATATCAATATTTAGTGAGAGTGTCATGTATATTATGACACTTTAATAAATATATTAATATTTTAATCTATTGGTTGCATATTTTATGTGTGTTACGCGAGTTTCTTTTCATAATTAGAATTAATGGTTGATCTAATGATGGTCAACCTTTGTCTAATCATTGATGAAATGACGCCTATGTATTGTCCACGTTTGCGACACGTAGATGCCACATACAAAAATAACATTTAAATTAATATTTTAACATTTAATTTTTTAGTTAACTGTTATACATAATCCCTAACTTGATGATGTCCCCTCCTCTACCTCATCTGTTCTACTTCGTTAGCTAATCATTTGTGACATTTTCCTTTCTAGTCATTTTGCCCGCCTACTACCGCAAACTAATCCAGAAACGAGCCGATCAACCCACTTATTCGACGGGCCAATGAGCTAAACCGGGTTGACAACCTTGCTCACCACAAAGCTATGGAGGGAAATAGTTTTGGGTGTACCAGTTTGAATGATCCCGCCAATTACATCACGGTCTGTGTTACCATAGGCGGAGGCAGGGGCATTAGCCCTTGTCACGGGACAGGGACAAATTTCGGAATGGAAAAAAATACTCATATATATTTATATTGATTATGGAACAAACAATTAAAGGTGTTATTAGAGTATTTTATTAGTACAACACAACTCATTAGTTGTTCATAAATTGACATAAAAGTAATTTATTATACTATAAAGGGTTAATAGCATTTTGTACCCTTCTATTATAGTAAATTAACAAACATACCCCTTTACTAAATTTTTGCACAAACATACCCTTCTTATATTAAAACGTAACAAGTTTACTCTTCCATCTAATTTTCTGTTAAGTAACCATTAAAAGAGCTGGAAAATGACCAAATTGCCCTTCACTCCTAATTTCAATTTTAATTATTTTATTATTTATCTCCTTTAATCAATTAATTAAAAAAATTAAACCCTATGCTAATTCAGAATCGCTCCGTGTCCCTAGGTCACCCATGGCGATCGACTCGGCGGCGGCGCCTGCTCCTCGCTCTACCTGCCTCTCGTCGACGGCCACCGGAGATCCGACGTCTCCGCCCCCAAACGACTCGGCCGCGGTGACGGCAGACTAGTTCTTTTCAAAAAAACCTCAGACCAACTCCGATTCAAATTCCAAGTCACCCACGACAATCAAGTCAAGAGCTTTATTGCCGGAGCGCTCGCCACATCGCAAAATCCCAACCACCGAACCTTCAGCGGTTGTAAAAACAAAATCAAACACTACGGACGGAATCGGCGTATGGGATCATTTCACCGGGAAGCATGTTGATTTCTTCTACGAATCCCCCTGATGGTCTCTAGGTCACGCCAATCAACTCCATTGGTTGGACGAAAAGAACTCTTATAGATAGCTACTCTGACAATTGCTATATTAGTCTTCTTGATTTAAGAACCAAGGACATGCCGTAGTCGTGGTCGGACGTTGGAGCTCCGGTGACCGTCGACGAGAGGCAGGTTCGGCGAGAAGCAGGCGCCGCAACTGAGTCGATCGCCAGCGTTGAGACGGACAGTGATTTTGAATTAGTTTAGGGTTTTATTTTATGAAGTTAATTGATTTAATAAAATAATTAAAATTGATTAGGAATAAATGAGGGGCAATTTGGTCATTTCTCAACCCTTTTAACGGTCACTTAACAGAAAATTAGACGGAAGGGTACACTCGTTACGTTTTAATATTAGGAGGGTATGTTTGTGCAAAAATTTAGTACAGGGGCATGTTTGTTAATTTACCATAATAGAAGGGTACAAAATGCTATTAACCCTACTATAAATATAAACGGACTTTTAATTGCAATAAAAACCTAATCAAATCTTTTTTCTCCTTATTTCTATTCGATTTCCCCAACAATCCTGAAATTTTTCAGCGACAACAGCAATTCCACTAGTTTTGATTCTACAAATTTGCAATTGCAAGTGCAGGAAGAACGTTTTCAACTTTGAGTTAAATTAAGAACACGTTTCGAAGTCGAATTGGCGATCAGATTGCTAATGATTGTTTAGTTGGATACATTAAAAGAAACTTACTTAACAGTGTAGACAACAAATGTTTTTGTGTTTCTTTTGCTATATGAAATTTCGTCGTGGTTACTTATGAAAACAATGATTTTATTAGTCGATTATTTTTTATATGTGAATGAATTATTTGGTTATAAATAGTTTTACTTTTATTTATTAATTAATTATTAATTATATATTTATATATTTATATTATGAAAAGTGGACAGAGATAGTTTCAAATCCTGACTCCGCCACGGTGTGTTACTCTCTTAGTTGAAAAGTGAAAACACAACAAACCCCATTAACTATATCAGTATTGAGAATAACTATTGAAATGAAAGTAATATCCGAAGATTCCATAATAGATGTCGTAGAAAGGAATGAATCAAAATTCAATAATTATTTCTTTGATTTGCCGATTCGTGATTGATTTTTCACGTTACAACTTGCTTCTCAAAAAGAAGTGTTGAGGTTTCTAATGTCATGTGTCGAAAGGGCAAGCAGCAGGTTGCACATCAGATCAGCCTCTGTCGACTGTCGAAGTTACAATGATCTGCAATCGAGTAATTAGTTATCACATTTCTTCAACACAAATAAGTTTCAACTCAGGTACTGGAACCGACCAAGTCATGCTCAAGAAATCATCCATCTTCTAACTCACCTAGCACTGAAGTCATTCTACACTTTCCAGTTGATGTCTTGAAATCACCATAGCTCTAAGCTCCTCCAACTTTGCTGTCATATATGTACAGCAACCCAGAGGCACACCAGCGAAATGCTTGCACTCCATCGGTAAGTTTCATGCAAGCTTCGTGCCCTCAACTTGATTCTTGTAATCGTGAATCTCTGAAACCCAAAAATTGTGAGAGATTAAAACTGGTACAAACAATATGCACAGGAAGGAAATGATGCAGCAATCACATAGTTGCTAGGAAAGATGTGCAAAAGGCCAATATCTATGATCACCCATGGCTTGTTATACTTGACTGAGGTGAAATTTCTAGCTCAAAATATCACATCAGTAAAAGAAACAGCTTTTGCATAGCAGAACAAGGGACATGCTCTTAATGAAATGCAGAGACTCAACTCTTCAATGAGTGTCCCACAGGTTACCAAGTGAACACAGAAATTAGGAAGGATAACAAGCATGACAGCTTTCAATTCAATATGATAACAAATAGAAGAACACTTAACTGCCTAATCAACAATTAAACGATAAAACAGAACAAATATATCAAGCAACAACTCACAAGTAAAAAATGCAGCCTCAATTTCTGCAATCAATGATCCTTCCTTTTCCCCAATTTGGAAGCCTCGTACTTCTCAAACAATCCAGGGACATCAGCTCCGTACTTCATTACAAAATTCTGAACAAATTTGTTCTCAGTTATAGTTAGCTGCCAGCAAAGATTGGTCCCAGAAATCAGCTTCTTCGACACCAAAATCTGCAGGACATTATACCTAGGGCGCATCCTTTTCTCAATCGAGTGCATGATAAACTTCGGATACTTGATTACAACCGAAGGTGTCAACTTCATAGTGTTGACATAAAAGTCCATTGCATTCCTGATCTTCTCCTCGGAGCAAGATAAGCAAAGCGGGTCCCGCCTAAATGCAGACAAGATCTCCTCTTCAGTCCACCCCATACTCTTCATTACTTCGATTTTCTTCTTCATGGTCGCATCACTCATTGACAGTGCAGATCTCAGAGCATGCATAAACATTCGCGATTTGGGTTCAAACCCCAACTTCTTACAAGTACTTACAGCTTGGACCATCCTGGACTGCTTAATCAATATGAATCTCGGATGAGCATAAACCATGTTCACAATATAGGTCCTAGGAATTCCTTCACCTAACAAGAAGTCTATATTTGGCTGCATGTTTCCCTTCAAATCATAGCTCAGCAGCCACGAGGAACGCTTAATTGTGGACATGATTTTATCAGAACTACCGAGAAGCAAGAGCAGATACTCAACGGATGGCTTAATGTAAGAATCTAAAGAGCTCTTGACAAGTAAAGGATTGGACACAATTAGGTCAGGAAGTTGTTTACCCACGAATCCAACTTTGTTGAGGAACTCGAACTTAGGCCCAAGATTGTTGCTTATTCTGCAATGGAGAACCGTGGGGCGCTTCTGAACCAATGTGGATATGTGGGCATCGGTGAAACCATGGGATCTAAGAAATTGAAGTACGGACTCGGGCTTCCCGTTCTTCTTCGCGTCGAGCTGGAGCTTCCTTGAAGCGACGAGAGCTGATTCCATGGGAAGGCCGCATGACTTGACGAGGTAGTCGACGGTGAATGAAGAAGAAGGCGCCGCATTTGAGAGAAACCGACTTGGGATTACATAAAGAATGCTCCTGAGCCTGGTGGTCGCCATTTTTTCCAGTGCTGAGGCGAAACCCACATTTACGAAAGACTTCGCCATCATAAGTAGAGGAGAAGTCTCCGCCGCCGGCAGCTCCTGTGTTTCCACTGAAAGCAAGCGAATGAACTACGAAATGATTAGGGTTTATGCGCTGAATCTGAATTACGACCACGTGCCAAGCCGTGCCATTGTCGACGGTGAGCAGTAAGCTCTTTCGATAGCTATCTAGTATCTACACACTATCGTTTTATAGGACCCGAAGAAAAGCTTTGTTTATACTCGATAGGGCTGGAAGTTTGGTACCGGTATTTGGGATATACCAAATACTATATCGAATTTGTCTATATTTGATATTACCAAATACACGTATTATTTTGTGGGATTGAGATTGGGATTGGGATTGGGATTGAATTTTAATTGTTATTCGGTATTAGAGATTACGGGATTGGGATCTGTATATACCCAAGTACTGATCAATATCGAAATATAAGTTAGTGTGTATTTTATCCGCTCAACTAGACTCTCTCATTCAATACTACGCGGCTCTCAACCACCTAAAGTGCCATTTAATTATACATAGATCATTACATCACTATTTCACACTTGTATTAGTCGTCTTTCAACTTCAAATTCGTCAAAATTAAAGATTATCAATTACAAGAACTTGAGATGTTAGTTCTAGGCAACTCAAGACTATTTGCTTAGTCTCTTTGTTCTAAATTAAACAATAAAATCTAATTTATATATTTAATTATTAATTGCAAAGGTAATTAATTATGTTTTCGATAATATCGATTGGCATACCGAGGTACCGATTGGGATGCCGAAATTATTTATTCATTGAGATTGAGATTGATTTTATGATGTAATTCGATATTCGGGATTTCGGTATTTGGTATTGGAATACCGATACCGTACCGATTTCCACCCTAGTCGAGATGATGAAAGCTCTTACCTTTCTAATTTAATGAGACGATTGTCTCTTTCCCTGTTAATCGATCCACAGCCCCTGAAAGAAGGAATTTGAGAATTGGGCAATGGATACGACTCGTATGCGTCAGACACATACTATGCGACAGGATTATCTACCGTAGATATAATCTAACGGTCATTATAAATTATATTAAAATTAGTAATAATAATTACTACTTGCACCCCTTAAATAATTATATGTGCTATGAAGCACCCCAATAATAATTATCGTTCTATTTTCTCGCATGATACCTATTCGTTTTTGTGAGAACTCAGATGATACCTTATTTCTTCAAGATCTTTTAATGAACACCCAAAAATTATACAATTGATAAAATAAAGTTCCATTAAAAGGTTGCCCCAATTCGACAATCCTAAGCCACCATCATCATCATTACGATATTTCTAGATACGCCAATTGCAAACCCCTAATTTTACTATCATCATCACCGTCCTTGCTTCCGACCTTCATCAACTTTGGCTCATCATCTGTTTTTAAGGTCGCAGATGACAGCTACCCTTTCGCGACGAATCCGAAGCAATTGACGGTGAACGACTATGACCTTTACGTAGTGTAAACAATGACTAAGGCTGAAATGGAGAGAGGGGATTGGGTCTCGTCAAGGGAATTCTCTTGGTCGGAGTTCAGAATCGAAACGGAGTGAGAAGGTTTGGACGATGAAGAGGCAGGACAAAACGACGGCGCTGCATAACATAGGTGTTTTCATCTTCCCTGTTAAATCGAGAGTGATAGGATGAATGATGTGTTTTTTCAGTAGTGGCGGTACAACAATGGCATTGGGAACGCAGGGTTGTCGGAGAGGAGAGACGATGGCGGGATTACGGTGAGGTCGGCTCTGGGACTGTGACCTGGGGTTGCCATATTAGAGAGACCACATCGGGATGGTGATGTGGGGTTGTCGGAGAAGAAAGACAACCGTGAGATTACGGTGGTGATGGCGGCAACTAGGATGGTTGTGGTGGCAAAGAATCGAAACGCAGAAACTGCACAGGGAAGATGAAGACACGTGACAAAACAACGACGTTTTGTGTTCCCTGCTGATGCATGGGAAACGACGGCGTTCCACAGGATGAACTAATCATACGGAAGTGGTTAGATGGGGAAAAATAAGAAAATGAGAGTGCATGGGGTATCGAACAGATAACCTTATGATATCGAAGAACACATTTCACCATCAGTTCTAAACAAGACTTATGAATCACATACGTACATCTTTATGTATTGAGAAACAAAGCATTTATCTTAAAATCAAAATATAAAAATAAATTAAGAAAGAGCTATCTAGGCTACGCATGACATCTTAGAGCTTAGAAAGGAATCGAAGATAACAACAAATATAATTAAGAACGCAAAATAAAAGGTGACAATGACATTTTTTATAGAGTCAGTAGTAGCTATATCGTGAATATATTATACGAACAAGCTATTTTCATATGCATACCATGCATTTGGAAAATTAACCCCCCATGCCATCCACTAGATATATCTCTTTCACCAGAACAACATATTCTCAACAAATTATGTGGTTGTGACATCGATCGATTTGACATGACAAAACACCATGTTGTACATATTGTTTTGGTTAGTGGACTTGTACACTCTTTTTGACTCTTTGGGTTCTTCGATAAGGCTGGTTTGTGAAATTCTAAAAGTAGGCATAACAAGAAATTACTATAACAAACCTTTTGATTAGATATGTCAATGACATGCTCCGCATGATTAATTATAATAGTTATTCTATCTACAAGGGTCATATTCGTTGTGTTGACTTCTAGTTAAAATTTCGTTTGTGAACAAAACCTTGTTGAGAAAATGGGAGTTTGATTGGCGTCAAGTTGGTTGGATCTCTAAAGTTCATAAATATCTATCAATAATAACACTAGTACCCGAATTTGTGCAAAGGTTTTAGTATGATTAACGACATAGAACCAACGATCGACCGAGGACTTATCCTCTGGCTTAGCCTACTCGTTGAGCATAATCATAATCTAATATAATCTTTATGGTTTTGTCTAAATGAATTTATGAAACATGAACCTACGAATGATGCGCAAAGAGAAGAACAATACTTTGGGAGTCATGTCCTTCACCTTATCTGTCACAAAAATCATGCAACAGACGATAAACATATCCAAGGTAGTTGAGGCGCGGGTGTTGATAATATGAGAATCAGTGCAATGCTCATGCCTTCCTAGTCCAAGCAAGGTTAGCTCAAGTTTTAAGAAGGTTGGTTTGAGATCCAAATAAGTTGTTGAAATGAGTTGTCAAATATAGTTGATTATTGCGTACTAAAGTAAGCACTTGTGTTTTATGGTTGTTGTCATACTAACATTGGTAGAGTTGTATCTCGTAGGGCGGTTGTGTATTCAACAATTTGGTATTCCAACATTTAAACGCTTAATTGCAACATGATCTGGTTAGTAATACAAGATTGATTTAGGATGTAAGGATATAAATGTTTTTATGTACACGTTTAGGAATTCTCATTTTATGCTTGTTACACTATATTGATTTAGAAATTGCCACACATTTGTCAATTAAGGCTGGCTACATAACTTGGTTTGTCTTTAGGGTACGTTTAAAATCAGGGATAAAATGTTGGAATTCCATTAATATGCTTTATAGGGTATGTGATTGTATCAAGTGTAGAAGACCACCTGAGTGGCAGGTAGCAGGTCCCGAAGTTCGCATATGACACGAGTGGTTCTTGTAGATGTGGCACCATAGCATTGGTATTTTTAGATAGAGTGGGTGCTTTGATGTAGATGTGGCCCCGTAGGTTGTTTGTTGTTGTTTTTACCATCATTTGCACCAATCTTATGGTAGAAAAATGTTGTTCTTGTAATCTCGGTTAGATTGTATCGAATTATTTTTGTTTATTAGAAAATCTATCCAAATCTCGTGTAAAGCTAAAAAGTGGTTCTTGTAACCTCTGTACCAAAATCGTTTATTGGGTAGAATCTCTATCCAAATCTTGTGTGAAGATAAAATGTGATTCTTCTAATATCTGTACCCAATCATATTTTGGTAGAATCTGTATCCAAATATTTTGTGAAGATAAATGCTGACATTTGTAATGTAAAGAATATAGTAATTAGTTTATTTCATTTTACAAAAATCGTTTGCCCCTTCCGTCTTCTTTGTATCATCTCTTCCAAGTTATTCTTCCCACATTCCAATAGTAGATAATCTCTATATTTGCTCTGAAATCGGTAGCCTGATTGCAGAATTTTAAAATGATTTTTCTCTTAGTGTTGATCATCAATTTAATTAATGTATGTTACCGAAGATTTTCGATAAAAAAAGAAGATTTCCATCATTGATCGAAGAAGACAAAATTAGGGATAGTTGTTTCATTTTTTTCTGACGAAGATAGAAGGTTTTGAGGGTAAAAAAGGATAACGATAGGGTAGACAATCAGCAAATAAATAGGGAGATCAATTAAATAATAAGTATTCAATATTACATTACATTTAATTCTTTCATTCACATGGCCTCGAAAAAGGAAGTTTGCCGAATATAGGTGGTGGCATTGGCGAGTTTCTCTAAAAAGTGGGAGTTCAGAATTTTGTATTTTCTTTTGCATTAAAAATCTTTGTAATTCTAAAATATGTACCCAAATGTTTTGTTAAAATATAAAGTGGCTCTGGCAAATCCATTATTTTGGTACTATCTGGATCCAAAAATATGTTGAACAGACAAAAAGCAATCAGTTTCCAAGTTTAAGTTATTTTATTCTAACAGTGAATCAAAGTTTTACTTACCTTTCAACCAAAAAAATGTTTTACTTGCCTTTAAAGAAATTATTTATCTATTAATGGCTTATCATTAATTAAAATGGAATGTAAAAGACAACAATGTCCTGCCTTTGGGAATTGAACCCGTATCCAAGGAGTCATATTTACACGCTATTTCCGCTACGCCAAATGACATTCACTGGCTTTAACTTGTACGTCTTAGTAATTATTTAATATTTTTAGTTAATATGTAATATCTCAAACCATTATCGTGACTTTTGAGATTGGGGTCAAGGTTGTTGGATCCTTGAAGATTATAAATCTCGATCCAT